CACCAGACGTTCAACCTCCCTCCTGTAGGCAGACTCGTCCCCGTCCGAGATGAGTCCACAGGTTTTACTTGTTAGGCCATAACTGATTTGGTGGGACTTGGAAGACAGGCTGATCCTTTAAACTATGTGGTGAGACTCAGAAACAATAGACTAGTCTAAGCAGCCAATCCATGATAGAGCTACAAGCTACATGATGACTGCAAAGCAAATGAAACATCAAAACGTCCATCTTCTTCCATCAGACTTTACATGGACATGTACTTAACAATATTTAACGATTTTGTTTTCATCATCAGATTTGATAATGCAGTGGGTGTAGTTTTGGCCAAGCTTTCACTTTGAAGGTTTGGTTGTAGCTAATCAGATTCCTCAAGTCCTTAAAGTCTGGTGGTTTTCCTACTGTCCTGGTGACAGCCTGCCCGGATTACCATTTTGTCAATTCTTGATGTCAGTCAACTGTCACGAGTCCTTTATTCTGCAGTCTATCTTGTCCTTGATCTGCAGTTCTAATCTAATCTGAATCTGAATCTGCAGCAGGTGTTGCCAGTTTGCTGAGCTCATCAAAGCAGCAGAGCAGAACAAGGACCACTATCAGCTGCAGTCCAACATGATGGATTCAAGTCACAAAACATATAGTATTATTTAGTTTTTTCAAAACAAACGCAAAAAAAAAAAAAAGCAACTGTCTGAGATCAAATCCGACTCTCTGAGAAACACTGCTGTCTGGGATGTTAGCAAAACTGGCACAACTCACTCAAAATCAAGATAAGAGACAAGAGGCAATCGAAAAGTATGTCTCATGTGGGCACAGATGCTCTGGGCCAAGCCAGACTGGCGCAAGAACGGGTTTTACAAAATGCTGTTGCTCAACAGAAACCAACATCCTGATTTCCAGCGGTCCTGCTACCGTGTTCACTCTGGCATGTTGTTATGTTGCATTAGTGCAAACAGAGAAGAAGACAGAAGTCCTGCACACTGAGATTAAAGTTCAGCCACCGTCACATAATGCTGACTTTTCTTTTTCTTTTTAATCAGCAATGCCAAACAGTCTTTCCAAGGTTGCTGAGTTAAGCAGAAGTCAAATCCTCAAGCATCTTTGGTTATAATTTTCAAACAGGCAATCTGTTGTGAAAGAAATGTAACATGCCTCTAAAGATGCTCTCTGTGAACGGTTCTTTATGGCTTTCACTGGCAACCAGTGTAAACAGCCTCTGCTCAACGAGGAGAAATAAAAACTTCTATGTTTAAAAACCGCAAAGCATATAAGATGTTCCCAGTTACTAAAGCCGTCTGCACTTCCAGGTTAACACTCGCATCTCTATACTGACATTAAAGTGGTACAGAGTAAAAGAATATCTGCGCTTTTCTCAACTCCATCTTAGGTTTTTAGATTCTTTCTGCCAATCACATGTTGTGCTACTCTGAAAACCTTATTTCCAGTCACAGCAGGCAGCTCTTTTCAAACTGTGTCCTCCTTCCCAGCAGACAGAAAGTTTTAGCAAACAGCTTGTGAATTATGGATTTTGAATTCTGACGCTAATGCTATATTGAATGTAAATAAGGTGAGAAATATGCATTTTACATAATCTGAACTAAGTTATGGTGCTGAGTGGACTAATCTGACTGGTGAAAATAAGAAAGCACTCCAAGTATTTAATGTGCTTACACATCCTATTAAGTGGTTATATGCTTATAACATCTGTTTTTTGGGACATAGCCTAAAGAGCATTTGTTTTTGTTTTTACGAGTTGCCAACAGACCTACTTTCACTTTTACTATTTGCAACACTGAGCTGCAGTGTGACAGGGCTACGTGGTTTTGTGCATTGCTGTGCTAAAAATACAGATACGTGCAGGTTTAGCACCTGAGCAAGGACACGACGTAACCTTGAGTCCTGGTTTTCAGATCATTTTCTGCAACTTTCAGGTTTTAACGTAGAATGCAAACTGTGTGTTTATTAGTTTTTGTTTTTTCAGGGCTGTTCTTTTGCACAGTCAATATGTATGTAAACACCTCATGCACTGTTACTTTTTAACGAAACTGTTTATAGTGCCACATTTCCTCTTATTTAAATTCTGTTAGTGGTAGTTAAGCTGCAGAGAGGAGGAGAGAACGAGTGGGAGTCAGCGAGAGAGAGAGAGAGAGAGAGAGAGAGAGGTGAAAAAGCGTTCAGATCGAGATTACGCAGAAGTGGATCAGTCAGTCCTGAGAAGACGAAGAAGAGCACAGAGAAAAATGAGGATCTTCGACTGAAATCTGGTATAACTTGAACCCACACCCACGTCATAGTTTGCATTAGTGTGCTTCTATGTGAACTACATAACTGTCGATAATCTAAATATTTAAAGATGAATTATCACCTTTAAAGCAGCATGCTTTTGTACAGGTCTGGCTAGAGCTGATCATCATCATCATGCATTTCTTGTAGTCTGAGTTTCATTAATGTGGTTAAAAAAACAATACTCAGAGTTAAAGTTGATTTTGACTTTTGCATTATTAATATTAATTTCCCAGATTTTCTATTGAAATTTTATATTTTTCTCATGATTAATAATAACCTTGCTGTATGATTTTCACACTGTTTACGTCAAAAGTGAGGCTGAAAAAATGGCACAGTCTGGACTGAAACAGTCTACTTAACAGCATGTTTTTATTTTAAGTTTCTTTACGGCTGGAAAAATCAAGTGTCTTTACATAAATGTACCTAAATATATTTGTTGTCTACGGTGAGTCAAATACTGAAAACCTCTGAAGTAATTTATTACTTTTGGCTGCATAATTCAGTCTTACTGAAAAATTCCAATGTCTTATCCAATGTTTGATATCAACTCAACTTTGATTGAGTTGCATACATGTATTGAATAATAAACAAATATACCGAGGCTTACAGGATTGCAAACACAGACCAATGTTGCAGGTTAGTTGGTCTGAAGGGAACATTTGAGTCCAAAACTTTTAAAGTGTTTTTTCTTTGCGACCACTGTGAATGAATTTTAAGGATTATATTGACTAAAAAGCGTAAAGCAGAAGAAAAATAACCCTTTAATTAACTGCAAAGTAAAAACTGCAAAGTACAGAGAACCTCTGCTTTCAGTGACAGTGCAGATCCAGCCAGTGTCCATAGGTCGCTTAGCAGAGAGTCCGGAGGTGACACTGTCAGTGTGGAGTTAGCTATTATTGCCAATATTGACAGAACTGTGGTGATGCTCCCAAAGTGACAGCATGTGCTTGTTGATCATTATACCATATATCATTTAATATTATATTTGATTATGACATCAAATATCTACTGAAGGTACAGGAATTTGTATCAGTCGTGCTTAAAAAGTGGTTCTTTGCTGGCATCAAGCCTTAAATCTTGTTTTCAGTTAATCTTTAAGTTCTATTATTTTGTTTTTTTTCTTCCAAGACTTTTTCCACCAGAGGTCCTGGGGGTCCATCTTTTAGCTGGCACACCCTGTACCCTCCTCCGCCTGGGCAGTGTGGCTGCTGTCAGCATCTCCAGGGTAGATCCATCCAGCTTCAGTAGCCTCCAGTAAGGTGAGCTTCACAACTTCAAGTAAAGTTCCCCACATTCTAGGAAAGGCTGCTTCAATGTGCCATTGTTATTGTCATGGTCTCACTTGCAGCTGCTCTTACAGACGTCTGCCTCCACCTCTTGGAGGATTAATGAAAACAAACTGCTTCAGCAGCAGCTGCATTAAAGCTATAAGATGCACCCTAGATAAGAGCCAGATAAGTTCAGATAAAAACATGTTTAACTGGGTCGAGTTGGCAGACAGAGATGCTCTGAGCCCTGCTAGTTTGGTACAAGAACCGTTTTTTAAATTTTGCTTGCTCAGCAGACACTAACATGAAATCGTGTTCACAGCAGATAAACCTGCTGAACTCCAAAAGTAAAGACCAGGGACCAAATATCAGTGCAATCAGTGCAAACAGCAAGGAAGGAAGAAGCCCTGGACACAATCCAGGTTACAGACCAGCCACTGTCAATGTAACACTGGCTTTTCTTTATCAGCAATACAAAACTGTATTGTCCAAGGTGACCGAGTTCAGCAGCAAACCAGAGCTTTTACCCCACATAATATCTGCTCAACAGGGGGAAAGGGAACCATATGGCTTTTACGTTCAAGCACCACAATGCATTTGACATGTTTCTAACTACAAATGTTCTTTTTGATTGAAGAGAAATTTCAGCTAAGATTCATCTGAATGCTGCACAAGTAGAAAAGCTACCACCAGCACCCTTTTTTTTTTACCTCCAGATTAATACCTACATCCCTTTTGTGATGTTAAAGTGAGACGGAGTAAAAAGTATCTGCAGTTTCCTTCAGCACCAACAAAGATTCTTTCAGCCAATCACTTTGAAAATATTTGTCTAATCACAGCTTTAGTTTAGTTTTTATTAGTTTAGTTTTCCAACTTCACAAAATTGCTTCAGTTTGTTTTTAATGTTTTTCAAGTCCAGTTTTTATTTTTATTTAAGTTTACTGAAATGTTTTTTTCACATCTAGTTTTAGTTTACTTTTAGTTAATTACAAAAACCTTACTGGACACTTAATGGCAGTGTTATAAAATAGCTTGTGAATTGTGGAGTGTCAGATTTCTGACACTATTGCTAATATTTGGACATATCTATATTGGACGTAAATAGAGGTGATAAATATGACTTTTGTTGTTTAATGTGGGTTTTTTTTGTCTTTTTCAGTCTCCCATGTGTTCACTCCATAATTTATCATGCAGTGTGAATAATAATTCAAAGAAAGTTACGAATAAACTGAAAGAATGCTGAGGTCACTCTTGGCTGAGAGTCAGTGTTTATGTCTTTGTGGAAGAGGCTACTCATAATGTTTTGGTCCATCTATACCTTCTGTATTACAGCAACAGAGGTGGCGACTTGTAACAACAGAAGGATGGTAGGCAGCAGTAAGCCAGCACCTTCTGACTGGGACACTAAGTCGGCCATGCCCGGGCCGCCGCTGTCATACTGCTCCGAGATGCTGCACAGCCAGGCTGACTCCTTCCTCATGGCAGCCCGACTCGTCCGCAGAGGATGGCCCAATGAAGGGACCAAAACAAACAGGCAGCTTTCACAATCTGATGGTTCAGCACGTCAACCCATTTTCACCAGTTCAGAGGGGCATAAGGCTTCAGTCAGGGTTAGGATTTGCCGTAAGGACCCCATGAGAAGTTGGACACTTGATATGAGCAGTGGGGAGACATCCCTGGATGGAAAGACAGGCTTTGAAAAAGATGATAAAGCCAAAGAGACATCGGAAGGTGCAGCCTCACCAAACAGACCAGAAGAAAGACAGACAGGTGTAGTCTATGTTTGGAAGTCTAGTTGTCGCATCACATGCAGACAGACCAGAAGATTTAAGGCCCCGGTGCTACCAGCCATTGCTGAAGTCGAAGTTTAAAAGAAGACCTGTAATTGAATCTACAGGTGTATGAAGTACAGGGTTAATGGTGATTGTAAACTTGAATTAAAAAGTGCTAAAGTACCTGTGAGTTTGTTTTCGCTTCATATAAGTAATTTCATTTGCCATCAGTTCAGGAGTTTTACAGATGAAAACCTTTGTTTTTGTTCTTCATTCAACTGAAATTATCCACAATCAAGATGCTCTTAAAACACCAGAGTAAGTCTAAAATGGACTTTCCACTGTTGACATTGTCCGTAAAAGTTACACGACTATACATCTCGCAAAATCTGAACACTGAAGACAAAATCGACTAGAAAAGGATTTTTCTTTAAAATAAACTATAATAATTCATAAGTACATCAGCTCCCTAACTGGCAACTCCCGATATACCAGGAGACTAGTGAAACAGAAGGTTAGTTAATAATCTCTGGTGATTTAAGCTACATTAGCTAATGTTTTGAACGCCACTTAGAGAACAAAGATAATTCCATTAAATAAACTAAGATACGGTGTTATTAACACTATTAATTAGTTGTTTTTAAGGGTGCTCTGATGAAAGGGTCTAAACTCGCCTGTGACTGAGAAACACGCTATGGTGTGAGCTGAGTTTAACAGCAGCGCCATCTAGTGGCTTTTAGTGGAAACAGCAACTTCATTAACAACACTTCCCAAAAGGATAGGATTTGATTTTAGTAAACTGTGCTTATTTTACTGTTTCATTTTAAGTATTTAAGCAAAGATGAGAAAAATAAAGTCGGTAGCTCTGGGTGTTGCCCAGCTGCCTCCAATAAAAATGTGGTTATTATTCTAACTACAATTATTACCTGCAAGACGCTCATTATGGCTCATTTTTTTCCAGGTATAACAAAGAATGAACACGGGAAAAACAAACAGACAAAATATACCAGCTTTGGGGGGGAAGGGAGTTATCAGCTGAAGTGCAAAAAGCACCACCCTGCCTTTGCCATCGTTGTTTAGTTGTAGCTCAAGGAAGACGTCATTTTACCGTAGTGTACTTGCACTCTAGTCTCTTCATTCAGGCTTCAAAAAGAACGTCAGGTATTACTTTTCTTACCTGGAGTCCACAAAACGTGGCAGTTTTTCCTTCAACTTCAGCCGCATCTGAGCGATCATTGGGACAGGCCTGATTTTTTTTTTTTTTAAACGCATTTATTTTGTTTGCGCACAGCCACATTTCAGTTCAGCCCCAACACCAAAGAGACAACTGCAGAAACGCAAGGTGCATCCTTCATCATCATCATCATCACAGAATGCCACCTAACGCACCAAGCATCAATAGTGATGAATTTTTAAAAAAAAAAAGTAACGCATGAAGCATCTACGTGCACATAATGGTGCGGACAGAGGTCCAGGTGACATCCAGGGAACACAGACGTTTGGATTTGGGATTCCCTGGAATTGGCATGCTGAGGTCAAACTGGGATCAATCACAAATGACTGAAAAATAAAAACCGCAGGGGCTCAATTGTAGTTCAGTAGGAAACTTCCTTTTCCTTTTTGGACAGTTTCTATTGAAACAGTTTTATCTAATGACTTGGACCATTAACAGTAACATTAAGAATTAAAAATACAAAGATCATTACAAACCAGAATGTTTATTACTAATAAATGCCAGAGACACTGGCTGAGACGACGACACTGGCCCTCAAGTCCGTCAAGAAAAGAAGAAAAAGAAAAAGAAAAAAAAAAAAGACATTTAACTTCAGAAACGGTCATTTCTAAAACCAACGGCGTATGAAGAACACGATCTAAAGTGACAAAACATTTCCCCTCCCAGCACATCCCACACACCCCGCAGGCTTCCAGATGTTGGGTTCAAACAGCCTGGAACAGTCTTTTAACCTGTGTTTTACAACTGATGAAATCTGGCAAGTTAAAAATCCTTCTCAGGTACACTGGAATCCATGTAAGGAGGGACAAAGAGGAAAGAAAGAGGGGGGAGGGGGAAAAAAAGAATTCCATAATCAACATTATCCTTGACATTTGAACTTTAATCCTAAACCCACTCAATGTTTCATATTCCTCCCCAAAACCTGGAAGCATCAGAACAAAATTTACTGAAAACTGTATTTATTTGTCAAAAAAGCTCCTTTACAGCGCCAAGATTTTCAACCTGTAAAGCCATCAAACATGTAAAATACAACCCTTACAATACAATAGAATCAAAACAGGTACCAAAAAGTACAGTAAAAATTACACTTCCGGTGGAAATGTGGAAGGGGACGAGGAAACAAAACAAAAACAAAAACACGAGGGAAAAATAAAAACTAAAACTGATAGGGTTTAAAAAACAAAAACAAAAAAAGAAAAGAGTTACATTTCTGGTGTTTTCTGTACAAATGGTCTTCTGTCATAAAAGAGGTCGAGTCTGGCCCAGTGTGTGTCCGTCCAGCCGTCGGTCTCACTGGATCACTGGAGTCCTGAGGGGTGAAACACATTAATGACACAGCTGGAACAAACCATTCAAAGTCTAATCTTTTCAAAGGGAAATTAAACTTTTAAAAAGACAGTATTTTAACTTGAAAACTTCAATCTGTTCTCCACTTACAGCAGCTATTAGTAGCTCAGTGCCAAGTGAAACATCTAAGTGCTCTCTATTTCACTTTCAACAGCAGAGATGCTCCTGGCAGCCAATTTACTCAAGTACAAATAGTTAGACTCTGACCCAAACAGATGCAGGAACTGACACGAGCATGAGGCTACAGGAGGACGTCCACATGTTCGCCAGTTTACTGTGATCAAATACTCAGCTGAGACACAGCGCCAACTGTAAATGTGTCCTCCAGGTGTTCAAATGGAGTTGCATTAAAAAGAAACCAAAAATAAAAACAAAAGAGCAACTAGTCATCAGTTATGTCTGCAGGCATCTGTGTCCAGCAGTAAAACAATCCTGAACAATGATATTTATGCTAACTGCAGTCAGTCAGCAGCAGGTGGCTGCCTAACATCTAACATTTTGGGGACCTGTGTTCTATTATTAAAACACAATATTTAATCCAACTGCCTGGCATTTCTGGTGACGATTGGAAAGGAATGTTTTCCCATTTGGTGAAAGCCAGGACTGACCCCACAGCTATGTTTGGGACAGTGACAGGTCAAATCAAAGGGGAACTCATGCGAACTTGAAATTACAACAGCAAGGTGTGAGTGGGGGTCTAATCGGTCTATCCACTGTTTAAACTGGAATACGTAGCACTAAGACACAGTCGCACATGTTGCGTTGTAGCAATGTCATACCTTGCACTGCCAAGTGACCATCAGTATGGCTTGTAGTTGGCCTGGTGTCCCCCCCGCCTTGGGGTTTTTCCATAGCTGGCATTGCCCTGGTCTGTGAAGGAGACGCAGTATTAAAGCAAGAGCTCAACATCTGACAGATGATGTTTGAGTGTTAAGTAAAGAGCAGGACAGGAACCCAGTTCTCCGGCTCCCCAAACTACACTCTAGAGGCTTGAGAAGAAAACATGGCACTCAATGACGTCTTAAACACTAAAGATGGGTGGCAGGAACGAGGCAAACTGGACGTTGGTGGTTCTTTGTGTCCGGGGATGGGCGTCCAGGTACACACCGGCTCACTCCTTGGC